CCGTGGGAGAACCCTCCAAAACATCGTCCCCATAACCCCCCCAGGCCCTCCAAGATAGCCTGGAAGAGACCCCCCTCGAAATGAGACCCCCCTCCCTTTATTGTGAAATCTGGAGTAGCGGGGTTCAGAAGTCTTCAGAGGACTCTGGGCAGTCATTGGAGGGTCCCGCGGCGCCCCACAGAAGAGGGGGATGAGACAAGGGAAAAGGAGGCAGAAAGCGAAGAAGATTGATGAGAAGAGCCGTGGCGACCGTGACGACGGCTATGAAAACATGCATGCAGCAACAGAAAAGGCCCAAACCGGCCCCAAGAGGCTTTCAAGAGGGCCAGAGGGCCAGCGTGGCGCTCCCTCGCCTGAAATCAGTGGGCGTCCTGGGGTCTCAGATTTGGGCTTCTCGTGGAAGGTCTCTTGTGGTCGAGCTCCAGCTGTGCCCGCGCATGTGGCGCGTCGCACGCGTGAGCCCCCGAGAAAGCCTCAAGCCTGTCGTCGCGCACGAGCTCTGAGAGCACGTCTCGAGAGGGCCCGCCCCGAGGCCATGGCGTGCGCCGTGCCGCGCCGTGGCCCCCCGCCGTGGCCCCCCGCGGCGTCGGTCTGCCCCGGGTCGCTCTCGCTGCTCTGCACGCACGAAGTGGGTACTGAAAGAATGGGTACAATGCCCAGCAGCGGATCTTGTTCATTTTGAACAGGGCTCGCTGTCCACGCCGCCGCGGCCTGTGTCCATTCGAGACAGGAGGCCGCCTGCCCAACAGCGGCCGCTGCTGGTTTGGGACAGCATGTGCTGTTGGGCATTGTACCCATTCCTTCGGTGCCCATTTCGGGCGTCCAAAGCTGCGAGCGCGCGAGGCCAACGAGCGGCACGGAGCCCAGGGCTCGAAGGCCCACCGTTTGGTGACTTTCAGGGCTGTTCGGAAGCTGGGCGAGGGCTGCTAAAATCGTGGCTGCTAAAAGCGGCCCTCCCGGAAGGAAAAGACCTCTTCCCGGAACGAGGCGCGGCACGCGAAACAGTCAACGGGCTTCTTCCCGGAAGGACGAAGACAACTTCCCGGAGGTCGATTTTAGCAGCCACGGATTTAGCAGCCCTTGCCCGGCTTCCGAGTTGCGGAGGCCCTGCAGAAGGTGGGCCATCCTATTGTTGCGTGCGCTGCGTGCGGGGCGCAAAGCACACCTCACTTGCCTCACTCGAAATGCTTCCTCAACCCATGGCTGAAGCCTGGCGCGCACGGCAAGAAGGCCGTCCGAAGGATGAGCTTAGGCTACCTGCCAAGCGCTGCTGTCCAGGTGCCAGCGACTTTGGGATCGCTCGACAGAGGACTTCCCGTGGATTGTGTCGCCCTCGGATGGGGGCCGCACGGCCTCGGGAAGAAGAGGAGGGATGAGGATGAGGAGGAGGAGGAGGAATAGGATGACCAGGAAGAAGAAGAAGCAGAAGGGGCAGGCGGAGGAGGAGCAGGAGCAGCAGCAGCAGTAGCACCCAGGACTCAGATGTCACAGTTTTGTTTCGCTCCGTGGGTACAGCCTTCTCTCTGGGACCGATTTTTCTCTAGGATCGTTCTTTTGATCGTCTCAGGGCCCCGAGGCGGCCGCCGACGACGACGGCAACGGTGACGGCGACAACGCCGACGATCACGACTTCGACGGTCGCGACGACGCTGGCGACGACGACGACGGCGGCGACGACGACTCCAACGGCCGCGACGACGCCGGCGACGACGACGACGCCGACGACGACGACAGCGGGGAGCAACGACGACGTCGACGACGAGCGACGTCGACGAGCGGCGGCGGCGAGGAGCGACGTCGACGAGCGACGCCGACGAACGGCGGCGACGACGACGACAGCGAGCTCCGCGGCGGCGACCGACCGGCGCGGCGTGCAGCCGCTCCGTCGAGGCAGCGGCCGCCGCCTCCGCGGCGGGCAGGCAGCGGGCGGGGCAGCCGCCGCCCGAGGGGCACCCAGGCCGCCGTGCTCGGGGGGTGGCGGCGGGACGAGGAGGAGGAGGAGGAGGAGGAGGAACAGGAAAAGAGGATGATGATGATGAGGATGAGGATGAGGATGATGAGGATGAGGATGAGGATGATGATGATGATGATGATGATGATGATAGGTGATGATGATGATGACGACGATGATGATGATGATAGGTGATGATGATGCTGAGGATGATGACGATGATGGTTATGCTTATGATGCTGATGATGCTGATGATGCTGATGATGCTGATGCTGATGATGATGCTGATGATGCTGCTGCTGCTGATGATGCTGATGCTGATGATGCTGGTGATGATGATGATGATGAGGAGGAGGAGGAGGAGGTGAATTATCAGGAGGAGGAGGAGGAGGAGGAGAAGGGGGAGGAGGAGGACGATGAGGAGGAGGAGGAGGCGGAGGAGGAGGAAGAGGCCTATATTGGCTCGGCTCCTAAATGCCTAGATTGCTTTGGAGGAGGAGGAGGAGGAGGAGGAATAGGAGGAGGAGGAGGAGGAGGAGGAGGAGGAGGAGGAGGAGTACGACGAGGACGAGGGGGAGGAGGAGGAAGAGGAGGAAGAGGAGGAGGAAGAGGATGAGGATGATGAGATGATGATGATGATGATGATGATGATGATGATGATGATGATGATGATGGTGATGATGATGATGATGATGATGATGATGATGATGAGGAGGAGGAGGAGGAGGAGGAGGAGGAGGAGGAGGAAGAGGACGCCGACGAGCAGGAGTAGGAGGAGTAGGAGGAGGAGAAGCAGAAGGAGGAGGCGGAGGAGGAGGAGGTGGAGGAGGAGGAGGAGTACGACGAGGACGAGGAGGAGGAGGAGGAGGAAGAGGAAGAGGAGGAGGAAGATGATGATGATGAGGAGGAGGAGGAGGAGGAGGAGGAGGAGGAAGAGGACGACGACGAGGAGGAGTAGGAGGAGTATGAGGAGGAGAAGCAGAAGGAGGAGGCGGAGGAGGAGGAGGAGGTGGAGGAGAAGGGCAGGCCCCAGCTGGCACAAACCTTCCCCGCGGCAGCGGCCGTTGCTTGGCCGCCGAACCTTCAAACCCATCACTGGGCAGCGGTTGTTCTTGGGGTGTCGGTGCGAAGCACCGGGTGGTTGCGGCGGCATCAAGTCAATGAGCGCCTGGACCGCGTGCCGCCGAAGGAGGAGGAGGAGGTAGCAGGAAGGACTGAGGAAGGAGGAAAGAGAAGGAGAGGGAACATGAGGGAGGACCAGTGCAAACCCAAGACGCATCAACGATGGTGTCGTAAACCCTCCCTCTAAGTTCCCTGCTCCAAGGGCCCTACAATAATGTATACGCATTCCGGGAAATGCGCCGTTGGCAGACAACTGTCCGTCTAAGGATCCTCAATCGTGCCTAGACACGATTCCTGGGACTTCAGCGTCGCGAGTCCACGTGACTGGTGCGCCCTGACCATCATACATCCTGCCAGGACACCATTCCTGCGACTTCAGCACCGCGGATCACATTGATTTTTGCGTTCTGATAGTCCTAGACTCTGCCGGAAAGCAATCCCTGGGTGTTCGACCATGCGAATCCTTGACAGTGTTGCAAATGTTCAAAACACATGCGCGTGGCGTTAAGGCGAGAGCAAGCTTTTAAACAATAGCTACCCTTCATTATTGAATGTGTTGCAAAAGACGGGTGTGCGTGGCGCTAAGGCGAGAGCAGCATTTTGAGAACTACCCGCTCTTCATCCTTTCAGCTGCTGCGAACGTTTGAAACAGATGTGCGCGGAGCTAAGGCGACAGCAACATTTTGAAAACGACGCGTTCTCAATTTTGAAATGGGTGGTTTAAACGTAGCAATCAATGCATGCGCGCGGCTTTCAGACAAGAGCTACATTTTGGAAACGGCCCGCCCTCCTTCATTGAAGATGCTGCTCGTTTGATCTAGCATAAATGATGTGTTTAGCGCCATGGCGAGAATCATGTTTGGAAAACGGCCCGTCCTCCAACCTTGAAGCTGCTGCGATGGTTTAAGACACATGTGCGTGGCGCTGAGTCGAGAACACATCATTGTGAAAGCTGTCCGCCCTCCATGTTTGAGATTGTTGATGTTACTTTCTAGAGAGAGAGAGAGAGAGAAAGCGAGAGAGAAACACACATATATATATATATATAATGCGCACGGCTGTACGGCGAGATCCATATGTTTGAAAACGGCCCGCCTTCCATTGAGACACTGGCGGGATGTAAGCTTCAGGAACATCAGCGGTGAATAAGTGAGGCGAGACGCCCCGCCCGCCCTAAACGAGGGAACACGAAAACTACACGAAACTGAAAAGCACTGCTCCGGTCGACACCTGGTGTGCAGTCAACGCGCATAGTAAGTACGCGCGCCGTGTCTAGGGTACCCCTGTTTCTTTGCCACTGCGGCCCATCCTTTGCCGTTTCCACTCGGGTTTTGGCCGCCCGCCGCCCAAAACTGTTTCAACTTCGGCCTCCAAGGGACTTGCGTCCTTACCACCCGTCCTTCAAGTACGTTTTCGCTGCAAGTCGATCGGCCACGCGCAGAAGGGGGGTATGGGGGACGGGGGAAGCCTTCTTGGAAGCGCCCCTGCTTCCTAGAAGGCGCGGGCCGTATCTATAGATGTAGGGGCGGCGCCTTCTAAGAAGCAGCCGCCTTCTAAGAAACCTTCACCCCTCCCCCATACCCCGCTGTGCGCGCTGCCAGGAGAAGGGATCGACGTAGCCACCAGCAGACTCGATGCCTCGACCGAGTCCAGGCTGGCAGGGCAACCCTCGCCCCGACCCAGGTTTTCGGGGGCGTCCAAAGAGAGGGGTGAGGACAGTAAGGAGGGGAAACACACACACACAGACACAATGAATCTTCGATCCCCAAGAAGGTATGGGAACAGATGGGAAGTGAGGGGGAAGACGGAAACCCAGAACATATAGGACAATATGGGGAATCTTGGGATTCGTGTGTATTTATGTGTGTGTGTGGGCCCCTCAGTGGTGTTGGGGCCGAACTTTTTCTGTGTCGAGGTCAACCGATCTGTGGGTGTGCGTGTTCGGCCTGGGCGGCAACGGTGGCCCCGACGCGGGGCCCGCCGTCGAGGTCTCGCGGCGTGGGGGCTCAGGGGCGACGAGGCGGACTCCCGTCCCTCGCGCGCGCCAGCAGCCCCCGCCGTCGAGGCGGGCCTCTGCCCTTCCCGCGGGCCGAGCCATTCCGCGGCGGCTGCAGCCGAAGTGTTCTGTGGCTCAGCCGCGCGCTGAGGGGGGGGGGGGGGCAGGGGGGGGGGCTCCTTAGAGGCGCCCCCGCTTCTGAGACGCCGCGGGCCTCGTCTGTAGATGCAGGGCCGGCGCCCTCTGAGAAGCGGCCCTCTTCTGAGAAGCCCTCCCCCCTCCCTCCGCCCCCTTGGTGCGCACCGCCGAGCTGCTGCTGGCCGCGTCTGTGTTGGGCTGTCTCCCTGTGCCGTCGGCTCCCGAGCTCGAAGTGTCTCCCCGCAGGGGCCCCTGCGCGCCGCCCACCTCGCCCTCGGCTCCTGGCCGGGGGACTGCAGCGTGGGAGGTGCGATTGGCGGAGTCGGCCGCGGGCGCGCGGTGCGCTCCCGAAGGGGCGGTGGCTGTCGTGTGCAGGAGGGGAGAGAAGCCCACACAGACATAAACAAATCGTCGGCTCCCAGGAGAGTATGGGAAATCATGTGAAGTTGTGGGGGGGGGGGAGAAGACGAGCATCCAGAACGTATGGCAAAGATGGGGAATCCGGGGGCTCGTGTGTATTTGTTTGTGTGTCCTTGGGCTCCTTGAAGTAAATCCGTGGGAACTCCATTATACTCCAACGCGTCTCCTGCTCTACTCTGGTCTATGCTCTTTTCTGTTACGCCGCTCTGCAGACGAACCCATGCAGGCAGCCGTTGCTCCTACTCTATCCTGTTCTACTCTTGCCCTAAGGTGTTGCATGTTGTTCGAGTCTAGTCCTACGCTACTCACTCATGTCTACTCTCCTCGACCTCTTACTCTAGCAGACGAAGCCTGGCGGATAGCAGAGGAAGCCATGCGGATAGTTTGGACGAGGGCACCTGGATAGTAGGTAAAGCCGTTCCGATAATTTGACGAAGCCGCACCTACTCTAACTCCTGCCAGACTGTACTCTATAGAATAGTCATACTTCATGTTACTTTGCCGCTGCTTTTCTCTACTCTCTATCTTCTCTCGTATAATCGATTCTCTGCTGCGCTACTGTAGCCTCGCCGACGAAGCCGTGCGGACAGCAGAGGAAGCCATGGGGATGGTTTGGACGAAATCGTACTGACTGCAGAGAGAGAGAGAGAGAGCCGTGCGTGTGCGGAGGGGTGCCTCCACGAGATCCCGCAGCCGCGGCTCTCTTCCCGCAGGCGGCCGTCCCGCGTGCCAGTGCCGGGCCAGGCTTCCGGCGACGTCCGCCCGCGAGGGTCGTCTCGCTTCCCGCAGGCGGCTCTCTCCGTGCCGGCGCTGAGCCCCGAGCCGCGTCGCCTGTCCGGGTCGGGCCCGCGCGCGGCGCACAGGGCGCCGCGCAGCGCCGACGCCTGTGCAGAGAGGGTGCTAGAACCTCCCCCCAAGGCCAAAGCGCCTGCTTCCTGCAAACGAGAGAGAGAGAGAGAACAAAAACAAAAAAACGTGATTTTTTAGGCGAGGCCACGCAGGTAATAGAGGAACACATGCGGCCATGCGGATAGTTCGACACTCTCCGAATGTGGTTTAAATTGTATTACTCTAACTTGCTCCTAGCGTGTGTTGATATATGGTATGCTACTCTACCGCCACTCTAGGGTATTCCAATATCTTTCCCGATGCTATACTCTACTCTTCGCAGGCGATCCCATGCGGATGCCCACTACTCCTATCGGGCTCTATTATATTATGTTGTGCCTTATTATACCCCTACTTCTGTTCTAGCCTCATCTATATACCGCTACTCCAGTCTATTTTATCAGACGAAGCCATGCGGATAGCAGAGGAAGCCATGCCGATAGTTTGGGCGAAACCACGCAGATATCAGGGGAAGCTATGCGGAGAGTTGGACGAATGTGGGTGCAAAACAGGGGGGGGCTTGGGGATCTGTTACTAATGGATTGGGCTCGGTGTCCTACGGGCAAGCCTCTTTCGAGGCAGCAGAGCGGCGTATGGAGATTACGGTAGCCAGCTGAGCCAGTTCTGCCCGTTGGGTACCTGCCTAAATGCCAGGCCCTGACTGGGCCGTTAGTGCGCAAGTCGCTATGGGTGGCATGACTGGCTATAGCTGGGCCCGCCGCGCTCAGCGGCGGCTCCATGTGGGGGGGGGGGCCAGCCCCAGGCCAGCTGTGGCGCGTCTTGAGGAGCAGGGACTTCAACGACGTCATCGTCCGGGAAACGCAGGACCACCGCGGAAGCCGCGGGGTCGGCGACGCGTAGAGGGAGAGGAGGAGGAGGAGGAGGAGGAGGAGGAGGAGGAGGAGGAGGAGGAGGAGGAGGAGGAGGAGGAGGAGGAGGAGTAGGAGGAGGCGGGAGGAGGAGGAGGAGGAGGAGGAGGAGAGGGGGAGAGGGAGGAGGAAGGAGAAGAAGGGCGAGGAGGATGAGGAGGAGGAAAAGAAGGGCGAGACGGAGGAGGAGGAGGAGGAGGAGGAGGAGGAGGAGGAGGAGGAGGAGGAGGAGGAGGAGGAGGAGGAGGAGGAGGAGGAGGAGGAGGAAGGGGCGAGGAGGGGGAGGAGGAGGAGTGACCCTTCGCCGGAGTCTTTTTCGGTGCGGGCTCACACGGGGTCCCCTGAGCAGGGGCCTGCAAGCCTGGCCTTGTCCCTTCCGCGGCCCCTGAAGTTGCGCACCATAATGTCACTCTTGCCCAGGGCCGCTCCTGCGCGTAGGCGACAGGGGTGAGCGAGGGCACCTTCCGCGGTCCTTGAAGTTATGCACCAAAAGGTCACTCTTGCCTGAGGCCACTTCTGCGCTCACAGGGGAACGGACACTGACATAAACATAAAAACTCTGAGGTCCGCGCGGATTTCTCGGATCGGCGCTGGAGCCCCCTGGCGGCGCCTCCGGCGCCGCCCCTGCCCGCGCGCCAGGGAGGGGGGGTCCAGCGCGGATCCAAGAAATCCGCACGTGCGAGCGGCGCCTGCGCCGCGGCACAGGGAGGCTGGCAGGCGCACGGAGGGGCCAGCAGGGGGGTCCACGTCGGGCGGGGCAGGGTTACGCCAGGCCTGTCCCTCTACAGGAGGGATGCTTCGACTACGCGCAAGAGTGACCCTTCGCCGGCGTAATTTTTGGTGCGGGCTCACTGGGGCCCCCCCGACCGCTGAGCGCGATGCGATAGTGGCTGCTTGCGCCTTTTGATTCAGCCACCTTGCGCCCCCTCAGTTCGCGCACTAAAGGCCACTCTTACCCAGGGTCACTCTTGCGTGTCGCCGAATATTCAAAAACAGTTAAATCATGCTCCGGGGACGAGTTCTCTACTGTTTGTTGGCACTTGGGGAGTAGATGTTTTTGGAGTACGTTTGATTCTTCCGTCCAAAATACCCTGCAGGGGGACAGGCCCAACCTGAGGCCAGGGTCCAGGTGCGGTCGGGTCTTGTAGGGGCAGCACTTCGCTCCGCGGGTTTGCGGCCCGCCGCGTATCGGCGCGACGCGCTGTACGCTCGAGTAGACGTAAGAGTGACCTTTCGCCGGAGTGACCTTTGGTGCGGGCACAGATGGGTCCCCAGATGGCTGAAAACGAAGCAGTAGCAGCGGCTTGCGCGCCCAGGTTTTGGTCCCCCCGCGGCCCCCAAGAAGTCGCGCACCAAAGGTCACTCTTACCCAGGGTCACTCTTGCGTGTAGCCGATACGCACTTCCCCAGCCTCCCGGCGTCGACGCCTCCGAGATGGGGTCGGGGTAGATGGGGTCGGAGAATCGCGCCTCATCGCGGATGCATCGGCGATGCATCGGCGATGCGGCTCGATGTGGGGCCCAATGTTCTCCACGCCGATGTCGCCGATGCATCGCCGATGTCGCCAGCGCATCGCCGATGCATCGCCGATGCATCGGCGATGCATCGGCGATGTATCGGCGATGCGGCGAGATCCTCCGACCCTATCTACTCGGACCCCCTTTAGGAGGCCTCTAAGGCGTCAACGTCTTGAGTTGCTTTCCCGGCCTCCCGCCCCGCGGAGCGAAGCCTTCTGCTTCGGCGCGACACGCTACTCTTAAGCTGGGCATGTCCCTCCACAGGGGGAATGTTCAGAAATGGTCCAAACATAGTCTGCGGACGACTTGTAGACCATCATGTGTGGGCATTTGTTGTATATTTCCACATGTTTCGTGGGGTTCTGGTTTTCATCCCTGCCGCGTCGCACCCGCGACCCTCACTCACCTCCCATCGTCTTTCTCCTTCTCACACAGCGCAGCACTGCTCAGCACAGCACAGTTTAGCTCAGCACAGCACAGCTCAGCACAGCACTGCACAGCACAGCATAGCACCTCAGCGCAGCACAGCTCAGCACAGCGCAGCAAAGCACAGCACAGCACAGCACAGCACGACAGTCGTCCAGGGCACAGCAGGCGTGGGGTTTTGTCGTCACCATAGGGGGGGCGCAGGGGGTGGTCCCTGAGCGCGGAGTGTATGCGGGCCATGCCGCGGGACATAGCAGGCGTGGCAATTTCCCGACACCATAGGGGGTGCGCAGGGGGTGGTCCTCGAGCGCGGCGTCTACGAGGGCCATGGCGCAGGGCATAGCAGGCGTGGCATTTCCTCGGCACCATAGGTCGTGCGCAGGGGGGGGTCCCTGAGCGCGGCATGTATGCGGTCCATGGCGCGGGACATAGCAGGCATGGCATCTTCTCGACACCACAGGGGGTGCGCAGGGGGTGGTCCCCGAGCGCAGCGTCTATGCTGGCCATGGCGCTGGGCATAGCAGGCGTGGCGCTTTCTCCACACCATAGGGGGTGCGCAGGGGGTGGTCCCCGAGCGCGGCGTCTATGCTGGCCATGGCGCTGGGCATAGTGGCACTTTCTCGACACCATGAGGGGTGCGCAGGGGGTGGTCCCCGAGCGCGGCGTCTATGCGGGCCATGGCGCAGGGCATAGCAGGCGTGGTACTTTCTCGACGCCAGAGGGGGTGCGCAGGGGGTGGTCCCCGAGCGCGGCTGCTATGCTGGCCATGGCGCAGGGCACAGAAAGCTGGGCATTTCCTCGACACCATAGGGAGTGCGCAGGGGGTGGTCCCCGAGCGCGGCGTCTATGCGAGCCATGGCGCAATGCATAGCAGGCGTGGCATTTTCTCGGCACCATAGGGGGTGCGCAGGGGTGGTCCCCGAGCGCGGCGTCTATGCGGGCCATGGCGCAGGGCATAGCAGGCGTGGCACTTTCTCGGCACCATAGGGGGGGCGCAGTGGGTGGTCTCCGAGCGCGGCGTCTATGCGGGCCATGGCGCAGGGCATAGCAAGCGTGGCACTTTCTCGACGCCAGAGGGGGTGCGCAGGGAGTGGTCCCCGAGCGCGGCCGCTATCCGTGCCGGTCGCACAGGGTATGGCAGGAGTGGCAATTTCCCGACACTATAGGGGGTGCGCAGGGGGTGGTCCCTGAGCGCGGCCGCTATCCGTGCCGGTCGTCCAGGGCATAGCAGGCGTGGCATTCCCTCGGCACCATAGGGGGTGCGCAGGGGGTGGTCCCTGAGCGCGGTCGCTATCCGTGCCGGTCGTCCAGGGCGCTGCTGTCCGTGACGGTCGTCCAGGGCATAGCATGCATGGCATCTTCTCGACACCACAGGGGGTGCGCACGGGGTGGTCATTGAGCGCGGCCTCTATCCGTGACGGTGGTGCTCAGGGCACATCGGTACGCAAGTTTGCTATCCGTGCCGGTTGTGCTCAGGGCACAGGGGGACGCTGGCGGAGCAGGCATGCCATATTCTCATTACCTTAGGGGGTCCGGAGGTAGTGTTCTCTGAGCGCGGCCGCTATCCGAGCCGGTCGTCCAGGGCGCAACAGGCGTGGCACTTTCTCGACACCATAGGGGGTGCGCAAGGAATGGCCACCAACATCATTCTCACATGCTTCACTTCAGTTATCATCACTCCAGCCATCATATAAGCATGTGGGATTCCTCGGTAGCGTCATTTTGGGGTGTGCTTTCTTTTTCGTCCCAGATCCTCCTGTAGGGGCACATGCCCGAGCTAACGCTACGCACTTCCCCATCTCCAAACGTCAACGGCTCGAGCTGCTCCCGACCTCCCGCCCCGCGGAGCGGAGCAGCGCGCTGTCCGATCGCAGGGCGTCGCGTGCCGCCGGGGTCGCCGCGGCGACGCGCGGAGCAGACGTTCCCGACTGCAGACGGCTACGCAGCGCTCTGGAGCGCTCTCAGAGCGTTCGAGATCGGAGGCTGTCGGGGATGGCCAGGACCCCAGGTAAGGGGACCCGGTTAGTGGTAGGGCCCTGGGGCCCCTCAGTTGGCCAGAATCGCTAAACCAGGTTTGCCATAGCTGATGTTTTTTCGGGTGACGGCAGTTCCGCTTAGTGGAAATGGGACGGGGGGGGCGCCCCCGGTACAGATCACTAAACCAGGTTCCACTAAGCCCAGTTCTGCCAACGCCCGAGGTTGATAGACCTCCTACCCTGACACGTCGATTAGTGAATAGGCCGTTTTCGGTTCGCGAGAGGGCGTCGCGGCCGTCATTTTTGTGGGTCCAGGTCCGTCGGTTTCGGTCCTGGGCCGTTTTCACGAAGGGAAAGTTTACTAAAGGGAGGTTTGTCCACCGCCGATACATCCTCCAGAACCGCCGGCTCTCAAAGATTCCCGATGTGCCCCAGCCACGCGCAGAGGGGGGGGGTAGGGGGAGAGGGGGGCAGCTTCGTAGAAGGAGGCTGCTTCCTAGAAGGCGCGGGCCTCGTCTGTAGATGTGAGGCTGGCGCCTCCTTAGAAGCAGCCTCCCTCTAAGAAGGTTCCCCCCTCCTCCCCCTGCACCCCTGTGCGCGCCGCCGAGTGTCGTGGCCTGATGTTGTCTCGGTCCTGGCTTCGACTTCGGATCGGGCCGTCGACCCAGACACCCTCGAGTCGCGAAGTGTCACGACGGGAGGTTTCTGGCAATTTATGTTGTTTGGGGTTTCTCGCCAGACCGCGGGACTGGCTGGGAACCGACGGTCCGCCGACCGCCACTGCACGACCTCGTGAAACTCCCTTTCCAACGACCTGTACTACCACTAGGACTTCCATCCCACTTCCACTACCACTACTACCGTTACCTCCTGCCTACCACCGCGGTTCCAGCTGGCACCCGCACCCCACTCCCATCCTCCCAAGATCGCGGCTTTGGGAGGCGGAATTCAACGCATGACCCCGCCCAGGCCGTTGCGTGGAGGTGCCTCCTGGCCATACTTCTGCGCCAGCACCTGTCGCCAGGGGATGGGTGCTGGCGGGGACAGCTACTACCTACTACTTCGACATGTTCTTCTACCCGCAATCCGACCTGTGATGCCTTCCTCTTTCTAGTCTTCCTCCTCCAGCACTCTTTCTGGTGTGATAGAAATCGTGGCGTTTTGGGATAACATGCACGTCCGCATTGAGATCTTTATGCTCCCCCTCCTTCCCCAGAGTGTAATATGTTCAGTTGTGCTTGGCCATTTAGATTTACTGGGGTGTAGCACGATCTCTCAAGCCATGGATTCATCTTCGGGCCGGCCCATGGCAGTCAATTTGGGGGCTGTTCCTGGTGGCTTGGCGCAACCAGCTCGTTGCTGTTCCTCCTCTTTCTTCTCTTGCTTACTTCTTGAACAGTTTTGTATTACGCATCTTATAGCTTAGATCTGTTTCGGTTGCCCAGTCGCTTTGGCCATTGCACCCGTCATCGTCTTCCTGGCTTGTCTGCTCTGGCGTAGTTAACTGCAACGTGACCAGGATGGGGCGTATGAGTCTTATGAACCCCAACTCCTGGAGCGGAATGGCAGTGACAGCAAGAGCTGGGCAGCAGGCTGATGTTAGGATTCCTGAGAGCTCGACTTTGCTCCCGCCGACGGCGCTGGCCCAAACAAAACAATCAAGCGACTAAGGATGAAAATCTGGCCCTGGGTAGGGAGTCTCCAGGCCATAAGGGGTCCGCGTGTGGGCAGTCATGACGTCGGAGGCCTGGGGATGCGGATGTGGAGGAGAAGCGGAAGGAAGAAGGAGGCCCCTTGGTCGAAGACGAGGGGGGACGAGGATGGAGTTGGAACAGGAGAGGGGACAAATATGGCTTCCTGGTCGACGACGAGGAGGAGGAAGAGGAGGAGGAGGAGGAGGAGGACCAGTGTAAACTCATGACCCATCAACGATGTTGGAATATACCCTCCCTCCAAGCCCCTCTTCATAGGCGCCTACAGGGATTCATTTCCACTTAGGGACGTGCCCCGTTGATGGACAAACGTGCGAAAATCCCAAAGCGTGTCATAACACCGTTCTCAGGGCTTCATTGCCACGAGTCAACCTGGCTGTTGCGGCTTCACGGTCATCAGTCGCGCCATCACACCATTCTTGGGGTTCAACACCACGAATCAACGGAACTCTTGCGCCGTGACCAGCCTGAACCGCTCCAAAGTACCATTTCTGGTACATTACGCATGGGAGCAAGTGTAAGTCTTGCATGCTTTGAAGACAGCCTGCGCGGCGCGAATGCGAGAGCCACATTTTGGAAAACAGCCGCCCTCACTTCGCCACGCTTGCATTAACAAACGAATGTTCGCGGCGCGAGGCGAACACCACATTATGAGATGGAGCCGCCCTCAATCCGCTCTCAATGCGTGAACGTCTTACCATTTTTAAACAACGAATCTGCGTGGCGCCCAGGCGGGAGCTACATGTTGGAACTCTTACGAATGTTTGAAACGAATGTGCGCGGCGCTAGGGCGAGAGTCAAATTTTGGAAGCGGCCCGTCCTCCATGTGCGAAATTGTTGCTTGGTTTTAAGCGTGAGACTCATGATGGTAAGGAAGTCTCAGGCAATGCGCCCGGCCCACCTTTCCGATTGGCCCTGGGGTGCGACAGGGAGGGGTTACCCATAAGGAAAGGAATGGAGGACGAGGAGAAGGAAGACGGAGAAGGAGGATGAGGAGGTCAAGCAAGAGAAACAGGAGGAGGAGGAGGAGGAGGAGGACGCAAGAGGAACAGGACACAGGAGGAGGAGGAGAAGGAGGAGGAGGAGGAGATGGACAAGGAGGAGAAGGTGGAGAAAGAGGAGGATACGGGTGAGGGGCGACTGGGGTGAGGGAGGAAGCGATCGCGCCCCGAGGACGTCAGTAGCAAGGAATTGTGCGGCCCTCAGTGGGGTTTGGCCAGGCGAGCGAACGTTCCGATCGCTCAGCCCAGGCCCCTCCCTCCTCATCCTCCTATTGTTTTCCTGCCTGATGAGGCTCCTGTCTGGGCTGCCTTGCTGTCTCGGCTTCGGGGGGCTTCGTTTTGGCAGTGCGATTGTGTTGGTTCAGATCGACTCTAGGTGGGATCCCTCCTAGTCCTCCTGCGTTCCGTTAGATGACCAGAGCAAGCCCGCGCCATGTTTTCAGTGTTGTGCTCGGGTCGAGGCCACGTGCCCCCAAACTCGGTCCGACTGCCTGATCGATCCGCCTCCTCCGCATCTCCCCTCCCCCTTGGCCCTTGGCACAACTGCGTCTCAAGGGTACCCTTGCTGATGGGACGGTTTCCCACCATCACCGCCATCAGTTGGAGGGGGGAAGGAAGTGGAGGACGAAGAGGATGAGGAGGACGAGGAGGAGGAGGAGGAGGAGGAGGAGGAGGAGGAAGAGGAATAGAAGTTGGAGGAGGACGAGAACGAAGAGGAAGAGGAGGAGGAGGAGGAGGAGTGGTGGTGGTGGTGGTGGTGGTGGAAAACATGCCCATCACTTGCGTCCTTGCCGCTCGGCTCATCCTGGCCTGCAGCCATGGACCATGGGCGTCTGACTTCGGCCTGAGGTTGGGCGTCCAGGGGCAGAGCATCCAGACCGCGCATCTGAATGAACCGCTCGCACCGTACTCTCCCATTCACCTCGTCATTGGTCCCGCCGCCTCCTTCTCATCATCAGCATCATCATCATCATCGATCAGCGCGCCATTGTACAGTTCCTGCACGATCGCTTGCAGTCGATCGCACTCCCGAAGGCCCCCTCGGCCCCCCAGCGCATCGCGGCAGCTGAGGCCTCCCAGGCTGCCGCCCAGGCAGAGACGCTTCAAACACGGCCGAAGCTCCAGGGGGTGCACACTCGTTCACTAACCAATGAGCTTTGTCCTGACCGCTTGCACCTGGCGTTGCAGAAGCGCGGGCGAGCGTGGTTTTCCTAGATGCCGGCTCATCCCCTGGCGCCGCGCTGGCCCGCCCTAACAACCATCCTGACAGTTTCTCGCCCCACCATTTCCTGGTCGGTCCTCAAAACCCTGGCGGGTGGGTGGATCACCTCCCACATAATACACATTCTGGGCCAGCGTGGATGTGTCCTAGGGTGTGAGAGTATGCCTGACTCCATCTTCCACTACCTCTACTGCCCGCGCCTGCTCCTTCTCGTCGCCTTACCCCGTTCCTTCCTGCCCAACTCTGTCATCACACGACTCGGACTTGGAGAAGAGTCCGAATCTGCGGGGGAGACCTCACGGGAGCGCGGCGTCTTTCGCATCGCATTGACGTTCAAATTGTTGGTGCGGTCCATTGGATCGGCGCCTCCACATTATGACGCGCACTTCGAGGTGTTGGCTGCAGCGGCCCGCTCGCTCGCCGCCTCAGACAAAGATACGTGGCTCGCCAAGCTACGTGCGATAATTATCATTCGCATCATCATCAGCATCATCATCAGCAGCATCTCCTTCTCCATTGGATTCTCGCGGAGGCCTGTCGCTCTTCCTCGTCCCCCCTCCCTCCCCCCCTTCCCTTCCTTCTCCCTTATCTTTCCAGCTCACCTTGCCGTCCTATCTCCATCCCTCGCTCCTACTCGCCCTCCATCCGTCTTTCTCTCCTCCCCTCTCCTTCCGCCGCCCTCCTCGCCCACCCCTACCCCTCCATACCCCATTTTCCTCGACCTCCGTCCATCTCTCGCTCCTCGCTCAGCGAAGAACGAGGGATGGAGGAGGAGGAGGAGAAGAAGGAGGAGAAGAAGGAGGAGAAGGAAGAAGAGGAGGAGGAGAAGGAAGAAGAGGAGGAGGAGAAGAAGGAGGAGGAGGAGGAGGAGAAGGAAGACGAGGAGGAGAAGGAGGGGGAGGAGGAGGATGGGGAGGGGATGGAGGGGCTGAGGGATGGAAGAGGAGGCGGATGAGGAGGAGGAGGGGGAGTAGGAAGAAGAGGATGATGATGATGATGAGGAGGAGGAGGAGCGCGGAGCGAGGAGCGAGGAGCGAGGAGCGCGGGGGAAGAGGAAGGGGAGGGGGAGGAGGTGGAGGAGGAGGAGGAGGAGGAGGAGGAGGAGGAGGAGGAGGAGGAGGAGGAACGAGGAGGACGAGGAGGACGAGGAGGAGGAGGAGGAGGAGAAGGAGGAGGAGGAGGAGGGGAAGAGGAGGAGGAGGAGGAGGAGGAGGAGGAGGAGAGGAGGCGCGAGGAGGAGCGAGGCTCGCCGACGCAGTCCCGCAGCGCTCCCGCGGGCGGCTCCGCCCGCCAAGGCGCCGCATCATGCCCGGCGAGGTCTGCATGCAGCGTGGGCGGCCTGGGGTGGGCTCCTCGCCAGGGGGGAGGCGGGTCTCTTCTCCCCCTCCTCCTCCTCCTCCTCCTCCCCCTCCTCCTCCCCTCCTCCTCCTTCCTTGTCCTTGTCCTCCTCCCTGGTCCCTGTCCCTGTCCTCCTCCTCCTCCCTCCTCCTCCTCCTCCTCCTCCCCCCCCTCCTCCCCCTCCTCCACCTCCTCCTCCTCTCCTCCTCCTCCTCCTCCTCCTCCTCCTCCTCCTCCTCCTCCTCCTCCTCCTCCTCCTCCTCCTCCTCCTCCTCCCCCTCCTCCTCCTCGCCAGAGGGAGATGTCCTACCCCGTGTTTGGCCTCCCGGGGCCCTCCACAGGCCCCGGGACTATCAGGAAGCGATGCTCTGGATGAAGACCTCGCCTTGCGGGGAGGGTCCCGCGGTTTCCGGGCCCGCTTCCCCCAGGCCCATGCGAGGTTCGGCGACGTGTAAGAGTGACCCTTCGCCAGAGTGATCCCTGGTGCGGGCTCACAGGGACCTCAAGGGGCCCCCAAAGCGTAGGCAGGCGCGCTCGGGTTCGGCCTCCCCGCGGTCCTCGAAAGCCGCGCATCGAAGGTCACTCTTGCCTGGGGTCACTCTTGGGTGTATTCGATGGGTCTGCGTTGCTGCCCGCGGGGGGGCCTTGCTTCAGTGTCCGATGCTTCCGCTCCCTCCCACTCCAGTGATTTTCAGCTCCCTTCCTTCTCCCTTCTCCTCTCGCTCTCCTTCGTGTTCATCCTCCCTTCTCCCCACTCTCTCTTCCTCCCTCCTCCACCCTCCACCCATTTTTCCTTCCTCCGCCCTCCGTGTGTCATTCTGTTCACTCTTATCTCTTCATTATCCCCATCCCCCTTCTCAGCATCATCACCCCCCCGCATCTGCCTTTCTTCTCCATCCTCATCCCTCCATCCTGTCTCCCTCCTTTTCTTCCTTCCCGGTTCTCGTCCTCCCTCTCCTTCCTCGTCGTCCTCTCTTCCGCTCTTCTCATCTTCCTCTCGTCCCTCCCACGCTGTTCGCACGCGCACTTCCGTGCGTGCGCCTGAGGGCCCCTTGGCGGTGGCGACGCCGCTGCCTGCGGATGCTTGAGCATCCAATGGGGAGTTGCTCAGGGGCAACGATAGGTGGGGATAGGCATAGGGGGGATGCTTCGACCCCCAATCGCCCTTTGATCGCCAATAGTGGCCCGAAAGCCCAACCTGCCCAGGAAGGTCCGGATGCACGCTCTGAAGCCTACCGCCGAGCTATCGGCGAGGTATCTCCGATTCCAGGTCGATGCATTCCCCACTGTGCCAGTGCCCCCCCTATCGTTGCCCTCCAGTTGCTTGAATGGGGTGCGAAAGGGGCCCCCCCATGCTGGCGACGCCTCGCGGGAGCGGCCCGCGCTGGGGCAGCGCACCTCCAGCGCGCGGCGCCGTCTTGCGCCGTGGCCCACCGTCTGTGTGCTCGTTCGCGGCGGCGCGCGCGTGGCGGCGCTGCCTCCGTACGCGACGGCTGCCCATCGAAACGCTCTAGGCCTCCTGGATGTGGTCGGAGCAGATGGGGGTCGGAGGGTCGTGCCGCATCGCCGATGCATCGGCGATGCGGCCCTAATGTGGAGCCCGAGTTTCTCCTCGCCGCTGTCGCCACTGCATCGCCGACGTTGCCGGTGCATCGCCGATGCATCGCCGATGCATCGGCGATGCATCGGCGACGCGGCGCGATCCTCGGACCCCATCTAGTCCGACCCCATCCAGGGGGCCTCTATAGGCTGGGTGGACCCCGGTGGACGGGCAGCTCTTGTAATGGCAGGGAGGCGCACGCAGGGTTAGCGGGCGAGTAGGGGTGTGACACCAGTTGGTTTGTGCCGTGGGGGGCGCACGTCCCAGGGCGGCTGGGAAGTGAATGCCCCTGCGGCGGCAGTGGGGGACATCGACTGTCCAGCCGCCCTGGAGAAGGGGCGCCCCGGTTGGCGGACAAGCTCTGCTGAAGGCGGTCTTCGCCAGGCGATGGTACGAATGCGCGTCGTTCCAGAGCGTTCCGGAAGGCTCGCCGAGCACTTCGGACAATTCCAGACCGTCCGCGGGGTCCGACAAATCCCGCAGGCTCGCCGGGTCTTCACAGATTTCCGAGTCATGTCGGTCCAGCGTTGTTTCTTTCTTCCCGTCGGCTGTCTTGAAAGGACGGGGTGCAGGTAAATTGTCATACAGTACGGATGTGCATCAAGAAGCCAGATGCTTTTCGTCAGGGTACATGAGGTTTCTTCGCTCCGCGCGCTGCGCGGTGACTTCCCGCGGCCGTTCAAAAAGCTGCTCCGTCCAGGATGCTCCAGGTCCCTCCCGGTTGCATCTCGCGCACGGGTTTTCAGGGTTGGATTTCTTGCGAGGTCGACCCGCGCTGGTCGTTTCACGCGTACGCCCTTCCAGTCGGACCGATGTATGAGGTCGAGGTCGGTTCGGGGACGGTACCCCGATGTTGTCCGTTTTTGTTGTATGCTCTTGTGCATATTGGGGGAGGTACCCTTGGATCTTCTGTGTGTTTTGGCGGGCGGAGGGTCTCAGTGTCTTGAAGGATGCTCTTCTGTCCTAGGTCCGACTGTAGCTGATACGATGCGTTCAAGATTAGCCTGGAGGATGCGCTTTTCTTCGCCCCCCAGTTGTCCTCCCCGTCGCCGCCGTTGCGATGGGGGGAGGGAGGAACTTGTTTGTTGCGGTTGCCCGCTGTTAGTGGTTGTAACAGTGTTTTTTGTTTTGGCTTGTGTTCATTAGTTGTCTATTTATGTTTTTTTTTTTTTTTTTTTTTTTCTTTTTTTCTTTGTTTTGTTCTCTCTCTCTCTGTAAATATAACTGTACACAGGTATATCGCTCTCTTTTGTTGTTTTATCTCTCTCTCTCTATGTCTCTCTCTCTCTCTCTCTTTGTCTCTGTCTCTCTTACTCTCTCTCTCTCTCTCTGTCTCTGATTCTTTTGTGCTCTCTATCTCTCTCTCTGTCACGCTCTCTCTCTCTCTCACGCTCTCTCTCTCTCTCTTTCCCCCCCTCTCTCTCTCTTTCGTTGTATCAGCGCTTCTCTGTTAGCGGGTTGTAGTACTTTGCGCGGGCACATTTTCGTGCAGCTGCGGCCGCGACCACGGGATGATGCGAGAAGGAGGGGCGTTCCTCGGTGTCTTTTCTCCCATGTGACCTTTGCTGTTTCTGCTCCTCCTCTGCCCTCCCTTTTCCCTTGCAACCTGTTTCTGCTCTGCTCCCTCCTTCGCACTCTGCCCCGGCTTCCCTCTTGGTCCTGTTCCTCCATCTCCGCTCCTCGTCCATCTCGTCTTCCTCGTCCTTTTCCTCCTCCCTCCCCCCTCGTCCTCGACATGTGTTCCCCCCCCCCCCCCCCTCCTGCTCCTTTTGGCTCCCAGTCACATCCCAGGCAACCTTGTTCGCTTGAGCTTTCGACTTTAGC